TGAATATATGGCAAGGCACAGCTTGCAGTAATGTAACCACAGTCCTAAAAAAGAAAGAAAATTCATTCTTCATGTTGTGTTCAACCCTAACAGATGCAATCACCATATACCCTTTATGCTAATTTATGCATATAGTCTTTCTTCATACCTTTTAGATGAATGGGTTTCCATTAGTCACTACTCTTCAGGGCAGTTAGGGTAAGATGTAGCTGTACATATGGATGGAGCTTATTTTGTAGAGTTTATAGAGCTACTAGTGCTTTACCTCTGCATGCCTCCACGTATAAATTCTTCCTGTAAAAACAAGCCTGATTAATGCAGGTTGAACTTGCATGGCATAAAACCCAGTCACCCCTTCTACCTGTCAGTCCTACAGGTACAGAGCATGTAGAAATGTCTGTTGCATGGACAGTGCCATGCCCTGCAAAGCAAAGGTGCATGAGGAGGTCCCAGCCATACACCTCTTCATTTAGTACCCATGCCCAGCAAAAGCACGTTTTCAATTTAAATGATGTGTTATGATGTCAGATGTCTGCAGCCAACCAGCAAAAATGAAGCCCTTCTCAAATTTTAGCACACGCCTTACAGGAGGTTTGCAGGATCTGACCCTAGATCACTTTAATCTAACAGTTTAATTCATTTTTCATAGCATTTGTGAATTATGGCAGAGGTTGGCTTTCAAGGATGATGTGTGAGACCACACTTTTTTCTCAAATTAGAGATTAAGCCTGACAGTAGAAATTCAGCAAGAGTTGAGACACATTGCATCTCAAAGAGACAAGGTGCTGATGATCAGCTGGTTGTTGATGCCTTGTCTCTGTGGCAGCAGCAGCTCACAGCTCCTTTTTTTCAGGAACCCAGAGGGAGCCAGGAGCTGCGTACTGGTGCTTCTCACAGCCCCACCAAAATGCTGTAGCTTCATGCCCTGTGGCATCCACAATCTGACAGAGATAAATGATGGTTCAGTACATTTATACTGTACTTATTACAGCAGTACCCCCAGCAATGTTGTTAGAAAGCCTTATTCATTTTTTATTATGGAAAGAATACTCACTTTTGTTTATATTTTCTTTTGCATGATTTCTCATGTGTCTGAGAATAATGGCAGTAGCAAGTGAGATAACTGTGATTAATTTTAATTTAATTTAATTAATTTCTTTGCTGGAATGAACAAGCTGCAGAATTCCATGTTTGTGTAAAAGACAGTGTAAGATTTGTTAAAATATAAAAAATAAACCAAAGCAGGATCACACACTAATTCCACTTCTAACAGAAAACCTATGACAGGCATCAATGGTAAAGGCTTCAAACTTGATGTGAGGATGTTATCCTTACCAAAACTACTAGCTAGCACATTTCTCTTGGTCTTTTTTGATTTTTGATATATTTAAAGCATATTTTGCTAAACTCTTAAAGCACTGAAATGGCTTTCACTTGTACTCTTTTGTTTGCCAGTCATGGGAAGGCAAATAAAATCTCAAGATATTTGAGACAAATAAAGTCATACCTACTCCTTTTTGCCTTCTGTCTCCTTCTGCCCCCCAGAAGTGGCTCTAGAAATCTCGAGCCACTCCCATTCCCACTGGGATCTCAATTCAAACTTTTTGTTAACTTTATACCTTTGTGAGTTTCAGCCTTTGTACAACAGCCCACTTCTGGTGCAATGCTGACTTAACTCTGTTTTTCTCCTTACCTTCCCATATGTCCTGCCCTCTTTTGGTTGTTCTCAACTTAGAGAAAGAGCAGCTATGTTCAGGAGAAGTAATCATAGTCTGGAAGATAGATGGGAAGAGGTGGAATTTCCTTGCAGAGTAGAAGCTTATCCTAAAAGTCCTAATTTACTTTTTTAATTATTTAAAGTATTTTTAGGCAACTTAATTAAGAAAAGAGCTGTGCAAAGAGGATGCATATTGCTATCTGTGTCTTATCCATTTCTGAAGAATTTAGCCAAGTTAAATAAACTGTAGTAGAACTCAATCCTCTAACTTAGGTTACTAACTTAGTATCTCCTTCATTGAAAATGTAAGTGCCTGGCTCCGGAAAGTAAGCTAATCCACTTAGAATACAATATACAATTAATGGAGAGACAGATTTGCTGGTAAAGACCTGCAGAGAAAGTTGATGGCATGGACTGGCTTTGGCATCTTCCCAGTGTTGAATTTGGTACCTCTGGGAGTTTTGAATGCTCTCTTAAATTGCGTAAAGCCACAGGAAAACTTAGGACTTTCTCTTCATTCATGGCCTCTTCTAAGGACAGACACATAACAAGCTAAAGGTACTCACAGCGGTACATGATGCATATGTTAAAGCCAAGAGTGTAAGGGTCAAAAAAGCAAAAAGAGGAAGCTTGTGATTTGGGTATGCAGTTGCATGGAAAGAAAGCCATTTTGGCTGAAGCCCTCCTCCATCTGTGCATATTGTATTAGATCCCAGTGCGTAAGAACAAAACTAACCTGGCTACAAGATATGGAAGCCTTCTGCATCCTCACTAGTAGGCCCCAAAATAAGCAGCCCTTTGCCTTTCCCCTCACTAACTCATGACTCATCTGGGTGCCTCTGGAAGAAGGTAGCTAATCCATGCAGAACAACTTTCCAGCAGTTCCTGCAGCAGGAACAGAGCACAAGACCCAGATCTTTCTGTTTCCAGTTTAGGCAGAGGACATCTGGTGGCCAGTATGCCTGAACTGCAGCAGAGGTGTAAGTGATACGTAAGTGCCTACCCTTGCAATAGGTATCTTTCCAATGGAGACAGCATGGGGCAGAGACAGTTGCCACTAGGCAGCGAGAATGTGGCCACCCTATTCTGTAGAGTAGAAGAGCTTAGTAGTGCAAATACGGGATATTGTGCCTGGGGCTTCAGGGTGAGAGCGTGGTTTGAAGCACACTGAGTATACTAGTAGGGAGGTAGCCTTTCAGACAAGCTGGGGAGATATCTACAGGGTTAGGCAGTCCTGAAAACTAGGTGTATATAACCGTAGCCTGGGAATAAGACTGGGTTTTGGCACCAGAGTTTGGATGTGGGCACACTGAACCTCACAGTAGATTGCCAATACTTGTGAACATACTTTTCTTTGTTTCATTATTCTTCTGCACTTTCAGGTGCGCAGTTCTAGCATCCAGGTTTCATGTTGGTCTGTTTAGGGTTCGAATGCTGTACTTATGGGTTGTTCGAGGGATAATTTTATTTTGAGGGATTCTCTAGGTTGTCATCAGTCAAGACCTTTAGAGAGGAAAAGACTGCTACCGAGATGAGAGTAAACTAACACACTTGTTATAATGCCCAATAATGCTTTATCCTGAAAGAGAACAAAATATGAGGAAATTCATTAAATCGATTGAAAGGATACAAAAATGAAGTCAATTAAATGGTGCAGAAACTTTGCATATACTGTTACCTTTCATTCCTTTCCCTGTGCCAATGATTTTTCCCCAAATGCCTAATCCTCCCCTCCTCCTTAATCTTACTCAAGGCTCCCTTTGATGCTTCAAGAGGACAGTTGATGGTCACACAGTGAGTCTGCAGCAGAACTTGGAACAATAATCTGGCATCCTACCACCTAGGCTACAATGAAAAGCTACTAGATCATGCTGTTTCTTGATACTACTAGTATTGTTTTATCTTCTCAGTAACAGAGCTGTATAAAATATTGAACACTGATTCTTTTGCTGAGAAAAGGAATTTTTTTAGACCTTTTTCTGGGAAAAGTTTCCTTTTTTGGATGGCTGCACTTGATAATAGTAGTCCAGGCCTTTCAGAGAAACAGTTTCAATAATTAAACATTATACTTAAATTAGAAGACTTTATTAAGTAGGAAGATGGGTCATTCCTTAAAGAAATGCTTTTAATCAAAGTTACAACATTCCTCAAAAACTTGTTCAACAGTGCAGAGATTATTTGAGTATAAGCTTTGAATTTGATTCACACAATTAAAAATTGCAAAAAAAAGTCTTCCAGTGGATCTGAAGAGGAATTATAAATGTGACTGTACGCAATGAGATGTATGTGACATTATTCCGTTTCAGTGGCTATGAAACTGTGAATGTTGAAGCAATAGGGAATTGTTTAGCAAGTGTCCAAATTCTCTTCACTGCCAAAGCTTGCTCAGAATAAGAATATAGTTTTCCATTGTTAAATTAGATTGAATATATGTTTCCTCTTACCTGTGACAGTGTAACTACATTAAAGATGTGATTTTGATAAAGGGGATAGTTTTGTGTATACAATTATTTATAAATAGTGAGCACTGTCTGACAATTATTTTTATTTTTACAGTAAAACCTAAGACTGCGTTTGCTATCAAACTGTTTTGTACAATGTAATTAAAAAGCTTAATGTTTTGGCAACATGGGAGACGAGAGATAACTGAGTCTCCATCCATAACTGTAACAAATATACATCGTAAGAGAGAGATATCCCTCATCAAGGCAAGGTCATTTTTATGGGAATGACTTTTCTTGGGCTTCAAGAAAAAGCTAATGCATAGTTACTGCCTTTTTAAGAAACAATTTAGAAAAGGGCAATTTAGGCAGCCTGGTAGGTGATATTCACAAAGAAAAGCATAGTTTATAAGAGTTAGTCATTTGGATGTGAGAGGTTGCTCATGTCCCCCTCTTTCAGCATTCAGTTCCATGTTTGAACATAGGAATTAAAAAGGGTGGAAGTTCAGAGCGGGGACATGTAAATTCAAAGGGGAGTATTTGCACAATAACTGTTTTTAAAATAAAACTTTTTAATAAGAGCATTGTGTCTTTAGAAAATTGGACTGTTGTTCCCAGGTTTATAGTTTTACAAGATATATCTGACTTTTATATTAGCCGTCTATACAAAAAGAATTTGGAAGGAAGAATAAAATCATGAAATCACTACTGGTAAGTGCTTTTCTTTCAGTGCCAGGCAGTGAAGATAAACTTTGTCTCTGATACTGTTTTTATTACAGTTTTGGATTACAGATTTATTTTCAATGACCTATCAAAATTAACAGGCTCCTTACTGTTCACAGTTTATCAGGATGCCCCAGAGCTACTTCAGCAATGAAGAAAGCAAAGCTGTCTGGAGAACAAATGCTAACAATAAAGCAGAGGGCCAGTAATGGTAAATTTTTAATCATTACCTTTTTAAATATCATTACTCTACGAGCTTTTTTTCCTATGTATGTAAATCTTCTCTGTATAAATAGTGAATTCACTGTCAATAGAACTGAAACTGGTTTTTGTGCTGTGGAAATCTGAGCCAGCAGTGGAGTGGTCGAACTGGTCTGAGTTATGTCTACGTAAATCCAAAACACTAAGATATTTCAAAGTAGAATATACCATTATAATTTTCTGGTTCATATCTCATTCACCAAGGTCGATAGTTGGTCTTATATTGTTGCAGGATTCAGAAGAGAAAAAGAATTGATTTCCAGAGATGTTGAGTCCTCATGAGCTCCCTTGAATTCATTTGGAGCTGTGGCTCTGTAACCTCTGGCAGATGTAGATGGCCTTGTGCCATTTCATCTCCAATAATCTGCAATCCTTTCTGGGAACCTTGAGTTGCAGGGAAGATGATGAAAGTACCTTGGATGAAAGTCAGGATAGTACCCTGATAGTTGAAGTGCAATTAAAGCAAAATGTAGGTGCTTCAGTTCAAATAAGTAATGCACAAAAGGCTTGTCTGGGAGGTGCCCAAGTCCTGAGCTTTTTTGGGAAACTATGTAGTCGCTTAGTCTGTGACTAAGTCCATGCCTAAAGATACTGCCCTCTTAACTGTTGATGTTGACTGTGTTTGAGAGCCACAAAGCATTTATAGAAAATGCTTTGTTCAGCACAGTGCAGGAGCCATTGCAACCCACACTGCCAGCACAGCTGGAGAAAGTCCTGGTTGCCTTTGTTTTGTAGCTGGTAACTGGGAGCGGAAGATCTGGCTCTACAACCTGGGAAGTATGGAAAACTGCATCTGCCATGCAGAACAAGACAGTGGGAACACCAGCTTCACTAGCTTTAGGAGTTCAGACTTTGACTTGAGAGAAAACAGATCTCTTCCCAGGACTATTTTATGCTTTGTTATAGTAATTAAAAGGATAAATAAATAAAACCTTTGTAGTTTATTCCTGACTGAATCCTTAAAGATGCAGGTACCTTTAAAATTCTGCTCTCTAAATGTTTATGCCATAAAACCTCAGAAATCACTTCCGTTTTGCAAATTATCCTATATATTATTGTTTAATAACACCCCTCTGAACCATGAAGTTATTAAAAGCAACAGCAGAATCACAATATAACCCAGTGCATCAACAACATTTCGTTGTGTTGGGAAAAAAAATCTTCTGAATTAGTTACAAATTATTTTGACAATGCTGCAATATGAAGAGATTAGCATGTTAAGGTACTTTCTTTTCCTTCAGAAGATCTATAAGTGGACACAGTCTTTCAAATAAGTTACAGATGACAGTGGAGCAGAATTTGTTGCTGCAGGTGCATTTCTTATAATACAAAGTTAAATCAGTACATATAAAGAAAAAGGTGTGTCTTATTGATCCTCTAGGCATTTTCAACACTCTCACTGGAAAATTACTGCAGTTTTAAAATGAAAAGTTTGAAGAATGCTTTCTTTTTCTTTTTTACTTTAACACTTTTACATGAAATAAATTTATTTTCAAATATGGAAATAATTAATTCACTGAACTCTGATTTAAAGCTTAATTATTTTAACACCCCTTTTATTTTTATACCACACAGGTATAGAAAATGATGAAGAAATTAAACAGTTAGATGAAGAAATCAAAGAACTAAATGAATCCAACTCCCAGATGGAAGCTGATATGATTAAACTCAGAACTCAGGTAACAGTTTTATGAAGCCCTAAATTCAGCTGCTTTTTCTACATGACTGATTAAAAGAAATATAGGAAATATATAGTTCCCTTTTATGTTTCTTACATATTAAGATTTCTATCTGTGATTTGCCATTTATAAAATCAGAAAACAATATCCGTTATGCAATCTCCACATCAGTTACCAGCATAAAAAAAAAAAAAAAAAAGGCTTAGCAAAATCTGTTCTTTAAAATAATGGCAAAAGCATGACCTGTCATGGTCAGCTTTGCATTTTCGCTTGATAAGGGAACTTCCCTTCCATGTAGAATCTTTTATATTTGATAAAGTGACAAGTCATGCTGCAGCCTTTTTCTTAGTTGGGGCATTCGTAAGACTCTGCTTTACTCAGCTGCCTTTTTGCATAAGAGTTGCAAGAAAGTATTTTTAATCTAAGATCTTCTAGTAAATTTGTCCAAATTTAACAGGCAGGTCCGAAAGTATGAGAGGGGCAGAAACACATAGAGGTGAAAGGGGGAAAGAAAAATCTGCAAATAACTGTGTGCCTCATACAAGCAACAGGTTATCCTGTTTTTAGAAAAGATACAAGTGAACATTCATTAGTTTTAGGGTAAAACGTGGGGAGGGAAATTTCAGCCTTTAAGCAAGTGAATACAATAATTAAGTACGCCAGCTATCTTCAGATACTTCCAGATGAGTACTAAATGAAATTACGAGATATGCTGATCAGCTGCCACTGTATTTGCAGATAGTCAGCATCTCACATGAAGAAAGAAGAAAGATCTATTCAAGTAGCAGTGCTCAACTAGCTAGAAAATCTATAAAATGTCAGCTCCTACTTAACTTAGCATGAGGCAGCAGCAGTATGCCATACTGAACTGGGCCTTCATTGACATCATACTCTTCACTTTGGTCTGTAATAGAAAAAAAAACAGTTTCTAGGGTAAATATTGGAGCATGACTGACTCCAACAAGCACCTATGCAAGATGTTTTGCATTTGCATACAGCACTGCTCTCTGACATAAACAAGCTGAAAGCAAAACAAGAGAGGAGGATGTGTTTCCAGTTTCAAAGCTGAAGAAAGTATTTTGCCTACTATAGTATGTTGTAGAAATAGCTCAAAATCAATTAACTGTGACAAAACCAAGCCCCTGCAATACTGACAGCTTGGATTAACTGCTATATAAACACCTGTAGTCAAAGTAAGAGATATGTGAAGATCATTTTATGTAGCCACATCACCTGTCAAAGTTACTGCTATCAACTAGTGGGCAGTATTTCCATAAGCAGATGGAAATTTTAGGTCCAGAATAAAACTTGAGGCATCTAGCAACCTGATTGTGCCAACAATTTCCTAAAATTTAGTCATCCATGGTCAAGTTAATATTCACTTCAGAACCTTTTCTCCTTCTGTCTGCTACTACTGCACAAACCTCCAGCCTTCCCATCAGCATTTAAAATATCAAGTCTTCCCACAGTTCACTGTCTATGCCAATGTAGAAATGGATAAAGGGATAAAGGTCATTTTGAGAATTCAAAACCTTGTGTTCTTTGGTATTTTTTCCACTTCTCTGGCATCTTTTTTCACCCTCTTGTCAATGCATATTTTAACCTACACACACACAAAAGCACACTCTACACTTTGTAATAGATGTTAACAGTTGTCATCCAATGTGGAAAGTAAGGACAGGTCTACAGAGGAAAGTGTAGACAGATATGAGTGAGGTCTGCATGTACTCTCAACGAGCTGGACATAAGCCAGTGCTCATCTGAAATCCTTATAGCTTCATTAGCACAGAGCCCTGCACAAGCTTGGGTAACTTGCCTCTCAGCAATGCTTTTTAGCTCAAGCACGGCACCATGCAAAGACAGAACTAACGTGTGTCTGGTCACCTGGGAGCACAAGCAGAGCATACTCCCAGCTGTCTTCACCTGTACATGCAGTCATGCCCCAGGGACCCACTCTCCTGGCTATGTGCAAATTTTCTTCAGTTCCTTCAGTTTGCACATCATTGTATTTATTAGAAAGTTCCCAAATTTTGTACATACATTGCAATAACATCCAATTGTTTGTCTTTCAAAAGCAGCCCTGTGAATTTGCATAGAATCGAATTATACTTACAAAGAGCTAAACACTGGCAGCAAGGAGCTGTGCATGCTTAACTAACTATACATATATGTCGCAGAAAATATAAGACATGCATGACTTACTGCAGAACATCCCTATGCTAGGCTCCTAGGAGTAGAAGTGTTTAACCACGTGGGTGAACTTGCAGCACTAAGGTCCTTCTTTATGCCTTTCAACTCAAGAAGAAAAGCTCTAAAGCAGTGGAATCAAATCCAAGTTCATTCATTATTACCAATATTAAAAAGACAAGCTGTTAAAGTCATACAACATGCAGTAGGAATAAGAAACCCATAACAATGATAAGAATCGCAGACTCAAGCAAAACCTTTTTAAGTGTGAATGAATAGACCTTTTTCTCCTTTCCCTGGTATTTCTGTTATCACTCTCTTCAAAGAGCACATGCTTTATAACAGCTTGCCTTATATTACATTGTACACAAATTTGTCCATTTTAGATTACCACAATGGAGAGCAACCTGAAGACGATAGAAGAGGAGAACAAAGTAATTGAACAGCAAAATGAGTCTCTTCTTCATGAATTGGCCAATTTAAGCCAGTCTTTAATTCATAGTCTAGCTAATATCCAGCTGCCACATATGGTAAGTGATTGAGAGCACAAGTTAAGGAATTTGGCGATCTTCAGTTCACTTCATACAATAGATGTCTTTTTTTATGTTTATGTTTCATCAACCAGTTGGATATTTGTGGTAACAACACTGAAACCATAAAGATACATTTAACTGCTAACAAAGACATGGAGGGCCTGGTCCAGTGTATCCTGTAAAATTAAGTAAGAACTAAATAGGCATTTTAAATATTATAAAAAATGGTGGCAATATGCCTTGATAATATGTTATGCTTAAATGAATATACGATTAAGAAAATAAAAGTTGTATATGAACTACTATTTAATATCTCGTAGGAACCAATCAATGAACAAAATTTTGATGCTTACGTGACCACTTTGACGGACATGTATACAAATCAAGATCGTTATCAGAGTCCAGAAAATAAAGCCCTACTGGAAAATATAAAGCAGGCTGTGAGAGGAATTCAGGTCTGAACAGCTGCTATAGTGGTGAAAGTCTTGCTTAAAAAAAGGATGCCTCTTGTTTTTTGCTGCTGTAATTTACCAGAAAGTGTTATATATTTATTTCTGTTTGAAACAGTGTTATGCTTACAAGACTTCATAATGATTTTATGTCTTGCTTTAAAGATAGTAACTGCAGAATAGTTTTTTGAATACATTCACATTTTGTACGTTTTCATATAAGCTGACATAGTGTGATATGCCATGTAATGTTTATAGCTGCTAATGTATGCACATTTTTGGGGTATATATATTT